TATTTATCCTCTCGAATATGTATTTTGTTTGCCTTGTTCCTCTTTCTGATTGAAATTCAATTGGTCTAAAGTCAATTGTTGTTACAGGGATGTGATTGTTTGGGCCACATAAAATATTTTGAAGCTCACTTCACAAACTTCACTGGTGGAGTTGAGACAATTGAAAATTGTGTATGTTTGCATGAAGAGGATCATGGAATTCTGTGGAAGCATCAAGACTGGAGAACTGGCTTGGCAGAAGTCCGAAGGTCTAGAAGACTTTCAGCTTCTTTTATGTGTACTGTGGCTAACTATGAGTACGGGTTTTTTTGGCACTTTTATCAGGCGAGTCAAACATCACAATTTTGTTAGAGATATATATGCTTAACATTAATGACATCATATATTGATGTGGTTTTCCTTAATGCATAATTTCACAATTGTTCACTCTTTGATCATCCTTTGAGTTATTGTGAGGCTGTTTTTAGCTATTTGTACAATGAGACTGCATCTTTATGCCCTGATAGTTGGTTTTCCTTTAAGAAAGACAGCATTATTTAAATAATCTTTTCTCGCTTTGCTTTTCATGAAATAACTGCATATTATCTTCTTTTTTTCTATATTTTTCGTAATGTTCTTGTTAACTGGTGACTAACTATGTGGAAAATGATGGTGTGTGTTGTTATAGGATGGAAAAATTGAAGCTGAAGTTAAGCTAACTGGAATACTAAGCTTAGGAACCTTGTTACCTGGAGAGTTTCGAAAATATGGAACCATGATTGCGCCAGGTCTATATGCTCCAGTTCATCAACACTTTTTTGTTGCTCGCATGGACATGGCTGTGGATTCTAAACCTGGTGATGCTTTGAATCAGGTAATTAGAATTGAAATACAAATTTTTCTGGTCCTACACTCATACTATACTATGTTATGCAGCTTATACTATTTCAGCACATATTTTTGGTGTAAGCACTAACTTAGTGGTGATCTTAATGGTCCTAATGGCAGTGAGTTTTTCTCCTTTAGAAATGTATTTCGACGCCTTGATCCTGGAGGCGCATTTTCCTCCTTACTGCCAGAAGTCTCATCTTGAAGTGCCACATTTCTTTTTAGATATTATCAAAATTACCAAATATTTTGTGACATTTTCTCCTCACCAGATGGAAAAATTGTAAACACAAGGCTATTTTCTATTACAATGCTAAAACCCTACTCTACCGTAGATATTCAGAAGTCAGTCTTTTGCATCATTAGTGATGTCAAACAGGAAGTAAAACTAGTGAATCCTCTCGAAAGTTAAAGCAAGATAAACATAAATAGCTTGTTTGTTTGCAATCTTCAATGAAATTTGGAGTGGATGACCATCAAGATCGTAATTGAATGGTTAAGAATGAAATAAAATTATATCATGTCAGTCTTTCTATGCTTGTTTAGGATCTTGATTCTCGAATCATTGTTACATTTTGATGATTTCTTTTATCTGAGGCTTATGAAATTAAATTGGGATTATTGATTGTATCTGTTAGAGAAGTATAAAAAACCATTAATGTAGCCTCACCCAACAGCTTAAGCTTTTGGGTTGAATTAGTTGTTTACAGTATCAAATATAGTGTCTTCTTGTTTATTCTGTTCCCTAAATTTGTCAGTTTTGATTTGGCTACTTTCGCTGTTTTGTTTGGAATTGTACTTGTAATCAGAATTCTCTTCTAATAAACTATATAGCTTGGCTACTACATCTTCTTTTTTCAAAGTCCTCATTCTTACACTATCAAGATGCTTGGTAGGTTATGGAGATCAATGTCAAAGTTGAGGAACCTGGGGAGAATAATGTTCATCATAATGCATTCTATGCTGAAGAGACTCTGCTCAGATCTGAATTGGAAGCCATGCGTGATTGCAATCCTTTGACTGCTCGACATTGGATTGTAAGGCTTTCCCATTTTCTAGGGCCTAATTCTTACTATTCTTGTTAACCATTTCATACATCAAATTATTGAACTTTGATTCATTATGGTGAGATATAGTTCATGATTTCCTTACTAGCCACAAACAATTTTGAACTTGGTTTGCTTTCTTCTAAAAATTCTGTGTCTATTATAGTTTTTAACATAATTATTTTAATGGCATTGGTTACTATTTCAATAATGCTCCAGGTAAGGAACACAAGAACAGGCAATAGAACAGGACAGTTGACAGGCTATAAGCTAGTACCTGGCTCAAACTGCTTACCGTTAGCAGGTTCTGAGGCCAAGTTTTTAAGAAGAGCTGCTTTCTTGAAGCATAATCTTTGGGTAACATCGTATTCACGAGATGAAATGTTTCCCGGTGGAGAATTTCCTAATCAAAATCCACGTGTTTGCGAAGGACTAACTACATGGGTTAAGCAGAACCGTTCTTTGGAAGAAACTGATATAGTTCTTTGGTCCTCTCTCTCTCTCTCTCTCTCCCTCCCTCACACAACACACACATTTTGTGAAAAAATTTCTGGGGATGCTTATTTCATATTTTATAAAATTTCTAAAACAAAATTAGTAAAGCACTACTTGTATCAGAAAAACTAGTCTATTAAACTATGTAACAGTTTTAAGCAATAACCTATATAGTGGTCTATATTTAGTAAATTATATAAAATATTCAAGTTAAATAAGTTTCTCCATTTTTGTTGTTCAAACTCACATTACTGTCTTGCTAATGAAGATGTTGTACATTTTCTCTCGAGATTAACTTTGTTTAACTTTAGGTATGTATTTGGAATCACACATGTCCCTCGTTTAGAAGACTGGCCTGTTATGCCAGTAGAGCGCATTGGTTTTATGCTCATGGTAATTGTCTGTTATTTTCATGGATTTTTGTAGCATTCTTTGAATTATAGTCTGTTATTTTCCCTATCATTTTAAGCTAGCTTGATATGATGCATTGATGATTATGCAGTTATGCTTCCTACTTTTCTACCAACCTAACAAATAAATAGTTTTTATCTTAAGAAAAAGATAAATTAAATTTATTGAAAATGTGTCCTCTTCCTTTTTTTAATATTATATATAATTTATCTTTTTCTTAACATAATAACTATTTATTTGTCATATAACATGACAAATGATGAATGCATTTTCCTTATTATAAACCTCTTGATAAAAAGAACTGTAAAAAGCACTAGTATATCAATAATTGTTGATTTGGCATTATTGCGTTGCTATTTTAGGTCACGTTTAATTGTCTTTGTCTTAAACTGCGTGGAAGGTTTTCCATTTGTCTAACCTGTGTTCCGTTTGTGCAGCCTCATGGGTTTTTCAATTGTTCCCCTGCAGTGGATGTGCCCCCTAGTCCATGTGAATTGGACTCTAAAGATAATGACATCAAGGATACTGGGTCTTCCAAGCAAGTTCAGGGTGGATTAGTGGCAAAACTTTAAGACACTTGTCCTACCAAAAGTTATGGCTCTACAGTCTCAATCAAACACGAGTGCTAGTCTGTCATCCACTATGAAACTACAAGTGGAGCAGATTTTCTTTTTCCATTCTAGGATCTTAGTCGAGCTAGCTATTCAAATCCTAGTGGTTTTCTTGTTATCATGAAGTACTGGCTGATGGTATTCAATTGATTTTGTTTTTTTTTTTTGGGGATTGAATTGATTTTGTCTTTGTACGTGAGATAAATATGGATTCAAGTATTATTTGGGGACATTTGTTTAATATTTTTTAAAAATAGTTTTGTTTAAAAGATGTGTCTAAACAATTTTACGGTAGTTAGATTTTAAAAAGAAAATAAAATAATTTAATATTTTTCTTACAAATTATTAAATTGATTTTTTTAAGAAAAATATTCGGATGCAGTTTAGAATTTATACGACAATCAATTTGATGTAGTTCTGTACTGTCGTACCTGGATAACCAGTGTTCGTATATGACAGTACTGGGGTTCCGTTGTTGGTATACGAGTACTCGGCAGAATTATTGTTTTTAAGTAATTTCATTATCTAGTTTTTTTTTTTTTTTATTTTTTTTTTTATTTTATATATATACTATTTTTGATGTGGATGAGGGAAGCTTAGAAATATTTGCATTTGTAAACCATGGTGAATTTTATCAGTGAGAATAGCTTAAATGAAGATAATTTTTTTAAAAGGAAAAACTATCTAATTTATCTGTTATGACTTATGAGCACAATTAGTTGATTGATAACCCATAATAATGACTGAATTACTAAAGTTAAATGGGACAAGAGTCCCTTTCATAAATAATATCAATCGGTGAAGTCATTATGGATAAATTATGATTTGAAAAAAAAAAATTGGATTATTATTATTATTGAATCACAATTGGAGTATTATTCTCGTTCCGCTTGGTGCATTTGCTTTTTTTCCAACTGAGATATATTATTTGGAGATTCAGCTTTAGACTTAGAGGTGCTTCTCGCTGGAAGCATTCAATCTATTGGGGTCCATTCGCCAAATTCATTGGTTTGAAATGACATTAACAAAGTATGGCACGGCCACGCCTTTAAAGTCGTAACACGCGACTTATTTGAGACGAGGCACCCTTTCATTGGGCATCATCTACCAAATGAGGTCTTCTTCTTCCACACGTCACATTTATATTGTTAAAAAGCAGCTTGGGACTAAGTAAGTTCATCTCATTTCAACCGTTAATTCATGGAAAAGTGATAACTCTCTTTTAAAATAAATTTATTTTTAACATAATTAACCTATTATATATTTTTTTTTTTTATTAATTTAATTGAATATAGTATGATTTTAATCTCTTGAAATTTAAAAATCATTACATATATTCTTACTTTAAAGACAAAACTCAATTTTAAATATGCATATTCCTTTTCGCTTTGCATTCGCAGGTATCAGTCAACGACAACAAACCTTGTATTGACTGTGATATAAGAGATCCATTAACTCATCTTGATCCTTCTATTAATTTATCTTATTCTGTCATTCCTTTCCTTGTCTAACTCTCTCCACTCTGCCCCCTGCATCGTAATAATCCTCTCTGTTCGATTTCAATCAATACAAAACAACTGTCCTTCCGAAAAAAAAGAAATTTTTACTTTAATTAATTTACAGACATGGTACGAAGAATGAATGTATGTTTGTTGGAGATATTTAATTATATATAATATTAAACCTTATTTTTTATTGTCATAATTCTTATATTCAATCCTGGGGTGGTGGAAATGTGTAGGAAGAAGCAACATCTCCCGAAGAGTCAACCTTGGAGTCATACATTACACTGTCTGGAACAGTATTCCTAGTACTACCTTCCTTCCTTCCTGCTTTCCTCCTTCTTCACTTTCATGTTTTTTCATTATTCAAATTTTAATTATAATTAAAAATAAATAAAAATCATTGGTTTAGTTCTATCTTTTTTCTTCCTCTTCTCTCTGCTTCATCCTACAGTTATAGATAAGATAACAGAATTGTTGAAGTTAAGTGTGAGTGAGTGAGTGAGTGAGGTTGGTGTTTTTGTCTCCGATGATGGGTAACCCTAACCCTAACCCTAACCCGGAAGAGGAAAGGAGCCTCCAAGAGGAGCTCTCGGGTCCAATCTTACTGGGAGACAGAGTGATCAAACTGGCCCATGAAGCCGAATCATCGAAGACGGAGTGCTCGGAGCTGGCGAATAAGGTGCATCTCCTCTGCGACAGCCTCCGCTCCGTCGTGCGGGTGGTCTCCGCCACGCAATCACTGAACGAGCGCCCAATCCGCCGCATCGTGTGGGAAGTGTCGAAGAATCTGGAGCGCACGCTGGCACACGTGCGCAAGTGCAAGAAGCACGGCGGTGTCCTCCGGCAAGTATTCTCGATAACCACAACGGCGGATTTTCGAAAGGTTTGGAACCTTCTGGAATCTTCTAACGGCGACATGTCGTGGCTATTAAGCATCTTTGATTCAAAGGGGACGAATCTATCACTCCCACCCATAGCCAGCAACGACCCCATACTTGCGTGGGTTTGGACTTACACCTACACACTCCAGCTAGGTCAGCTCAAGGACCGAGCCGAAGCCGCCACGAACCTTGGTTCCCTCGCCAGGGACAATGACCGTAACAAGTTCATTATCATGGAGGAAGGTGGGGTCTTGCCGCTTCTCAAGCTTCTTAAAGAGGCTGCTTCACCGGATGCTCAGGTTGCCGCTGCTAATGCTCTCGTTAACATAGCCACTAACCAAAACCGGGTTGTCCGGTTCATCGTGGAGTCCGTTGGTGTCCCCACCATTGTTCAGGTTCTGGGTGATTCACCCATGAGGGTTCGTGTTTCCGTGGCCAATTTGGTTTCCACCATGGCCGAACAAGACACCGTTGCTCGTGAAGAGTTTGTGAGGGTCAATGTGACTAGACCCCTTGTCTCTTTGCTGTCCATGGATACTGTCCTCGCTGACCCCATGGCTGGTCGAGCCAGCATTCATTCACTTGTTCTGAATTTGTCATCGGCAGGGGAGGTTAATTCCGATGGCGGTAGCAGAGGGGGACACCAACACCATAGAAGGGAAAGAGAAAGAGATGTTGAGAGCCCTGAGTTAAGGAATGATATCAAAGTGTGTTGTGCTAAGGCTCTGTGGAAACTCTCTGAAGGGTGTCTTTCAAGTTGCAGGAAGATTACTGAGACTAAGGGTTTGCTTTGTCTGGCTAAGATTATTGAGTCCGAGAGTGGAGAATTGCGGTTCAATTGTCTTATGGTTGTCATGGAGATTGCTTCCGTGGCTGAGTCCAATGCTGATCTTAGAAGAGCTGCTTTTAAGCCCACCGCTCCGGCGGCTAAGGCAGTTTTGGATCAGCTTTTGAGGGTGGTTCGGGAAGAGAGCGATCCGGCGTTGAAGATCCCTGCCATTAAGTCAATTGGAGCCTTGGCCAGAAACTTCTCTGGAAAGGTTCCACAAGTTCTTGGTCCTTTAGTTGCCCAGCTTGGTAATAGAGATGTAGATGTGGCAAGTGAAGCTGCTATTGCCTTGGTAAAGTTTGTGTGCCTGGACAACTACAACTGTGTTGATCATTCTAAGGCAATACTTGAGCTTGATGGAATTCCTAAACTAATGAGTCTGCTGCAGATAAATGATCGTCAACAAGTGCATGGCCTAAAATTACTTTGTTACCTTGCCTTGAATGTGGGTAACAGTAAGGTTCTTGAGCAAGAACGTGCCTTGAGTACTCTAGAGAAGCTTGCTTGTCCTGTTCTAGCTCAACACCCTGATTTGAAGGAACTGTACGCAAAAGCCATACATCACCTCACTCTTTATCAGCCGGGAGCTCAATTGCACAAACAGCCCTTTGGGCTATAAGCACCACTGATTTCGCTAGTCAAAATAATGATCCTTGTAAGTGTTTCAAATGGAAAAGTTAAGAGTTTATTGTACTTAGAAAATGATGTATTCACATTGTGAAAATGCCAAAGTTTTAATTTAACAGCCACTCACTGTTACTTCTGGTATTGACTGACTGATCATTCAAATTATACATAAAGGCTGGTAATCTCAACAAGACAAGTAAATTTACGAATTTGCATCTGAAAATGCTGCACAATGATATAACTTAACTTTCAATTGATTTGATAGCATTACCAACTTTTCTATCTCTTGTGACTTCTTGCCCTTTCCTTTTTTTTTCTCTCCTGATTAGTAGCACTGTAATAATTTGGTTTCTGCTTTATAGATTTCTGATATCTGCCTGTTGGAATTTACAATATATACATGTGCAAGGTCATAGTTACCACTATTTATATTTTATGCTACTTATGTATATTAAATTATGATATATGCATTCCTTTTAAAGCAAAATAAATAAATAAATAAATAAAATAAAGCCCTGAATTATGTCTACAGACATGACGACTGTTTAATGTTTACTATGCATTTCTGCCTCCGAATATGCTATTCCCACATTTTTATCTAGTACTTTGTTTATGCTTACATCTTAATTTATGCTAATATATTTGATGAAACTTTTTTATTGAAAATAAAAATTTAAAAAAAAAAAAAAAAAAAAACGGTTAAACTAATGCTTTTAACTGCTAACACAGGTAAAAATTCTTATTCTCTGTTTGGATATCTATGCACTTCTCAATTTTTCCAATTGTAATCTCATTTGTATTGACAAATTTTATCACTTAAATTTTTCACTTGTTCAGGTTTCCCTTCCAGATATTTAAATTCCTGCAGAGATGACATGAAAAAGCTAAGCCATGCATTCTCCAGATATAACTGCCTCTGTTATCACATTTGGCAGGGAAAAAAAAAAAAAAGACTACATTTAAACTTAGTTCTCCTGTTATTAAGTGAAGGGATGAGGGGTATGAATATTTTGCATTGGTTGGGGGAAGCATAACATGAGCTTGTATAAAACTACTGATGATGTAGGTTTGCCTTATCCCTCTTGGGATGTTCTTCGAGAAGCAATCCAATGTCTGGAAAGTAAGGATAGTGGCGATCAATAGAAGATTTCAAGACACGAGCTTACTATAAATTTTGATCCAAAATATATCCTGGTAACCATGTCTGTAGAGTTCCTTGTTATTATTAACTGTATATAAACCTACATGTAATGCAATGATTGAAGTTTGTACAAAGTTGTCATGGATTAAAAAGTGGCGATCCAATGTTTGAGAAATAAAGAGAGTGGATGTCAGTGTGGAGTTCAAGACATGAGCTTGCTAGCAATATTGATTCAGAAATTATCCTGGTAACTGAATCTAAAGAATTGCGAGGTGTTGTGAACTGTATAAATCTACATACAATGGAACAACTGAAGCTTGTATACAGTTTTCATGGAGTAAAAAGTGTCTCCAAAGCTTGCAGCTGGCATTCTGGATAGACAAGGTGAACATTTGGAAAAATATGTCGTTTAAAGCAATGAACATGAAGTTTTACTGTGTATTTATTCACTTGGGGTACATGTTTGCTAAATTGTTTATGTTGAAAAAAGAATTCAGTAAATTGTGTGTGGCCAAGTTGAAATCAGGGAATGGAAATGGATGCGTAGTTGGATCTTAGTCTTCAACATGGCAGCATGCATTTCTGTTTTCTGTTGTAAGTTGCGGTATTTCAATCCCTATCCCGGAGTTACTCTTGAGAGGAGTTGTTTGCATTTGGTAACCCCTGATGAATTTCATGAAGCTGAGATGATACACACCTCTTGGAATTAGTGTGATAACTTCATTAGACCTAATCTGTTAATTTTTATTTAATGTCACCCTCGGAATCGGATTTATTGTTGGTTGAAACATAGTTATCAGATTAAAGAAGACTGGTTAGTTGATGACAGCAGGTAGACCACCCTGAAATCCCATTTGCTGCAAAATGTTTAAGTATCAGTTTGTTGTACAGGCCGTGTCTTTGGTTTTCAGGAAACAGTATGCCATGACGTTCTTGAGTTTTACAAATTGCAATATAAGTCATATTTTCCTGTAGTAAGCGCAAGTATGTGGTTGCAAATTTTTAGTTGCTCGATTACGTATCTAAAACTATCAAGTAACAATAAATGTACATACAGTACACTTGGTCCAATGGTCTTCCACAAGGATAGATTACCAAGGTTCAATCCCATTTCCCTCAAACTTTCTGTTGGAAAATCGAGCTGCTTATTGCCTATGTTAAATAAAAAACTATATTTTAATCCACTTTCAATATTGACTTTCTTTTTCTCAAACTGAACTTTCATATAGGAATGAATTTTCCTTGGCTTATCTATAGAAACGGGTCTATTGTCACCTCTTTTGTGTGTAGAATTTGGATCAACTGATGAAGTCTCGCTTCTACCAAGGATGATATTGGATAAGTAACATGGTCCAGACGAACATGTCAATCGCCAATATTTTGGGTTTTGCATTCTTCACAAATTAACACCTGCATCCTTAGCCAAAACACTTGGGAAATCATGTCATTGAGCGTTAATAGTAACTTTTTTTTTTCTTTTTTTTTTCAATGACTACAAGGAGGTTTGAACCTGTTACTTCTTGCGAACTACTATAAATCGGTCATTACTGGCCTTTTTTTAGTGACTTGTGTTGAGAGTAACTTGAGTAAGAAGGCAATTCAACTTTCATTTTGTTAAGCCAAGTAATTCATTAGGAGGTGGGATGAAACTAGAAAGCTACACCTCAGTCCTCGTATAAGTAATAGAAGACACTCACTCAATACGTAATTAGAAGTTTCGTGGTTTGAGTGAGGAAAGCGCAATCAGTGAAAGACACATTCATAAATGTCAACTGGCAACTTATCTTTGATGAGTAGCTATTATTAAGACGTTTAAATTAAGAAATGCTTTATGTACTTTTAAGTCTGTTCGCTTTCTCGTTAGCCTCGAAATAAAAAGAAAAAAGGAATAGGAAAAGCACTCTGTTTCCTTTGCGGTATTAAGGTCATAATCACTTTCAAGCCATAAAGCCGAATTCATTCGGTAAAAGTACTCTATTTTGCGATTTTTACCATGTTAAAGAGTCGCAAAATGTCAAACATAATCGTTATTAGATACTTTGCAATCATGCTAGGGAGTATATTTCTTTAATCACCACTTCATTACAATAAATCATCGATTCTTCTTATTAGTGCCTGTAATTATATTCGTAAGGTCTTTTTGGCCTAAAATTCATCATTGCCAATGGCAGTTTTGAGTGTGTCTTTGACATCGATTTTCATTCTCAAGGCCATGGTCCATCTATTTCCTCTAGAAGCAAAAGCTCCCATGTTAAGTTCAACGTTCACTTATGCATTCGATTTAAGCCCCATCATTGGGTTCTACCTAACTTCATTTTCATTCAATATCTCGAGCTCTTTACTTTAGTGCGAATCGCAAAAGAAATCGATTGTCTGTTGTCATTTCAACCTCTACGTGTAAATTTAACTTAGCTTTGTATAAGATAAATATTTCACGAGCTCGACAAGTGTAATTCAAGATTATACCCACTTCATACTCAACTTCGAAGTTTAAAGTAATGGATTACAGATTTTACTCTTTAGATATGGTTAGAGCACCAGGAAATTTAATTGATTTTGTAAAGAATCAATTCAACTCAAAATCTTAAGCTATTGAGTGAGGGACTCTTTAATGATTTATATTATTCTCTAATATGCTCCGTCACAAGAGAGCTTATTGGGCTTGAAAGTTCGGTGATGCATCGGGTCCAGACTATCTGTGCTAAGAAATTACACAAATAAAATGGGGGGGGCGAGGATCGAATCCGGGATACCGAAGCTTTGATATCATATAAAGAATCAATTCAACTCAAAAACTTAAGCTATTAAGTGAGGGTCTCTTTAATGATTTATATTACTCCGTGACAAATTTAAATAGTGGTTTGAAACTTTATATGATGCAAGAAAAACACCATAACTAATTGGCAACTTGGCATATGAAATTTTTTGGTCATTTGTTTCCTTTTATGCAGGAGACAGCATCTTGTCGGTGTCCCTATATCATCTTCTTAAGAATTTGTTAAGTTCAAAGGCTATAATTCAGCAAAAGCAATCCAATATCACTTGTCGGATGCACCGTTAGTTGACCCTAAACTTCAACCATCTTTAATATTTCTCTTCTCTCTTTTCTCACGTTGTCTTTGTTAATTGCACTTTGTTTTACTTTAATGACGAATTCAAATGTAGCTCAAACTCCTCAGCTAGCTAGCTACCTAGCAGTTGCGTCGGCATATGTATTTCTTTTGTCATTATTAGCATGGACTAATTGCCTTGGATAGGTCCTAAAAGGTTTCACAAACTACATGTTAAAGGTTTTACTGTGGTTTATTTAATTATAACATTGAACCTGCTTTTCACAACAATGTTATTGCCTCTGATTTTGGTCAGAATCTTAAATGACTTTGACCACAGACACATATAACTACCCCCACAATCAAAACCTCTTTGATAATTACTTCATGGCTTGGCGGCAGGACCTTTTGTAATTTGCGTAAATATAATGTATGTACATGCTAGCTGTGGCTTAAACCATCTTTCCTCTTCATGTCAATGTCTGTCACAATTTCAAGCTTTAGATCAATTGTTGCCCAAACAATCTTACATCAGCGGCGTCTATTTAGCCTAAACACTCAAGTTAATTAATTTATGATGTGTCCCTTTCTTGCTTTTCTGATGTGGTTATGCCTCAGTGCACAGCTGTTCTAATTGAAGAAGTAGTAACTTTCACCGTCTTAATTTGGTACAAGGCAAAGTGGCAAACTATGGTAGGACCATTTGAGAGGTCAGGGCTGTAGTTACTGCACACTTTTGTTTGCTAGCTAAGTCAGTATTGGCTCAAAAATACATGCACTCTGCCTGAACAATTAACATCATCTATGATTTCTCATCTGATCATCACTATCACCAGGGTTTTCTAAAATCTATAGGACCCAATTGACTTTTTTGGATGGCTTTGCGTGCAAATTGAGAGCAGCTTTATTCTGATTTATGACTCACCAATGCCTTATGCCTAATGCATATGTAGTAGTAACATGTAGTGTATGACATTATGTGGGTTCCCTTTTCTCATTTGCTTCAATTGGTTATCTTCTTCAGACTATAAGAAACATGAAAATATAAGCAGTAGAATGGAACTGATGAGCAAATTAAGTTGTTATAAATTGTACAGTCACGTCCTCTATGTTTAAAAGCATAATTTTTTGAATCTGTCAGAACCCAGAAGAGCTAAGATCATATACATATTGTTCTTTGAGATATATAAAATCATTAATGTAATCTCACCCAATAACTTAAGTTTTTGGGTTGAATTGGTTCTTTACATGATATCAGAGCCTCAGTGTACCGGTTTCGATTCTCACCGCCTCCCACTTTCTTTCTAGTGGAATTTATTTATTCGCACATGTAGGTGAGCCTGTGCATCGTCCACTCTTCAAGCCGGCTCTTGTGTGAGGGAGCATGTTGAGATATATAAAACTATTAATGTAACTTCACCCAATAGCTTAAGTTTTTGGGTTGAATTGGTTCTTTACACATACAAATATATATATATATATATAATCACCATGCAAATTTTGGCTATATAAGCACGAAGTTATTGCACTGATGATTGTTATATTGTGTCTTAGAGCAGCTTGTAGTGACAGCAAATTAAAGATGATTATAAAGCCGGTTTAAATGAGGACATATGTTTTGAACCGAATATACTACACAGAAAGAGAAGATCCTAGCCGTAGACTTTAATCAGCTTTTTATGGTATCTCTCTCCAATAATGCAGATTTGGGGCAGCCAATTTGAGCCCTTTTGGAGGGATTGACCGATGCATGGTGCTGCTGGGAGCCAGAATCTGGATTATATGCCAGCAAAAACAGCATCCTTCATTATACGATAGGACAGGATAATCTTCTTATTCAAACTCTGCCAGCACTACTATCCCTACCAAAGCCCACCATATATACATTATGTATATTCAGAAACACACGGGCGTGTGTCCCAGAGTGTGATGTGATGTCATATGATATATATTATACAAGTAAGTATCAAAGAAAATAAAATAAAAGGAATTCGAAAGCATTTGACCAGCTCTCTAGATGACAACAAAAGGAAGAAGATAAGGATCATAATTAAATGAGAAAAGAAAAAGGAAAAGGAAAATATGTATAGGTATTATTACTGCACGTAACAATTTATTAATAGAACAATATGGAAATATTACAGCCATGAAACAAAATTAGCTTCACTCATTAATATTCAAGAATACATAGTTATTCAAACTTTGGCTGATGAAAACAGATACATCCATAGGAAAAATAAATGCGTGGAGGGGGGAAACATCTCAAATCTTTCGCTAGAAATTTCCTGTACTATCAACAACTTTCTATCTTTGCTACCTTGTTTCAACCAGAGGGAATTCAAAAAAAAATTAAAAGAATGAATTTACAGTTCATATATGCTGGAACACATCAAAATTTGCTCCTGTTAGATCCTCTGACAGTGACGTTAATGGAAAGCTAGTGAAATCTATCGAATTGTGAGTCTGCAGTTGCCCTTGATCTTCCCATGAACTTGTCTTGAAATCCTCGGATTTTATGGCATTGACTTGGAACTGAAACAAAGGGTCCAACTTGTTCTCCCCGTCCCACGAGAACCCTGCATTTTCCATCATGCTGTTCGTTTGACACCCTCCTCCTTGATAAATAGTGCTCATGTTTGAGCTATTGCTGGAACTTTCTTTCACCCGATCATTCATGAACAAGGAACTGATTTTTGAAGCTGAATTGTTGTCTGAAAACTCAGTCACCGACACGTTCCCATGATCCGAATTGGTTAAACTTGGCATTGAAGAGAATCCATTGCTTGAGTTCTGTCCAAATTGGTTCTGATCAAATGGTCTAAGGCTCGTGTGATAAGGACTCAGAGGTAAGTTATAACCAGATTGCATAACACCCATTTGGAAATCATAGTAGGACAAAGGATCCAATGCTGGCTTGGTCATGAAAATTTCTCTTGAAGCTTCTGTTAGCCCACAATCATAGTAATTCGAATCACCTATTAGAAGTGCTGAACCCTGTGATGAAGTTAAGGTTGATGCAGCTGAAGGCCCTTGAGACAATGGTATCTGTATAGGCGTTGTCTCTGTGCTTTTTGTTTCTTCCTTCCCATGAGCTTCAGTAAGAGGCTTGTGTGTAGTTGGGTCAATCCCTTGCTTCAATAGCTTCTTCTTTAGACATGAATTCCAAAAGTTTTTAATCTCATTATCTGTTCTCCCTGGTAATTGTGCTGCTATTTGAGCCCACCTGATATACAAAAGAAAATGATTTCATAACCTTGAAAAAAAAAAGAAAAGAAGAAGCTTGTTTTATTATGTTGATCATCCTTCAATATATGTTACCTATTTCCAAGGACTTCATGAAGACTGATTATAAGATCCTCCTCCTGCTGCGAGAACATTCCTCTCTTCAAATCAGGCCTCAAATAGTTTATCCATCTTAACCTGCAACTCTTTCCACATCTTTGCAACCCTGCAATTCATGAAACTATATTTAGACTCTTTATATATAAGGGAGAACAAAAAGAAGAAGAACTTTGTATATTCATTAATGAAACATGTAAATTGCTACCAGCTAGTTTGGGAACTGAACTCCAGCAGCCAACACCAAATCTGGTAATGTAATTGAATAGCTTCTCATCTTCATCAGGAGACCATAAACCTTTCCTCAACTTTTGCTTTACACAACAGGAATGGCGACCCATTTGTGAGAGGACAGTGGGAATGACAATGTTACTTAATTATGGAGGAAGAGAGTACGAACTCTCAAGTGGTCACTGCCTCTATATAGCGTGAAATATTTACCAGAGTGCTTGTGTGTGTGTGTCACTTGAACGTTTCAAGAAAGAGGTAGAAATATTGTTATGTTGTGGGGTGGAGAGGGAGTAACTCATTAACTATTTGTGTTCATTTAAAGAGAGGAGAGCTAAATCATAAATCATACTTAGGATTGAAGTTAACAGAGAGAGAGAGAGAGAGAGAACCCTGAGCTAGGAAGGTGCAGCAATCAAGTGGTTTTTACGCAAATCCAGTGCTGCTTTTGCATTGAAATGGATTGGTTTTTAAGATATCTCTATTTCTAGAAATTAAATTAAATTAAATTAAATAAAGAGGAACAACTATGTAAACGTGTCTTTTGTGATAGCATTTAGTACGAGAACATAAAGAAATGAAATATTCAGTTATGTTTTTTTATTAATTTTCTTAATAAAATCAAAATGATTTCATATCTTATTGTGTTATTTTTTAAAATAAACTTAAAATATCTATCATATTATTTTTTTATAGCGAATAGCAGCCTTCATTATTCTTTCAGATATAACATTAATTTTTTTTTCTCTCCTTAAAAAATGTATTTGGTGAGAATCGAATTCTTGCCCATATCTACCCTATTCTACATATGAGTGGAATGCTTCCTGTTTCATTCATTGCTAATTACGTTCTAACTGCCAACTCTGTTGTCTTTTTTATTTTGTCTGAAACATAACCTCATATAGTAAACAGTACTCATATTTATATTCTGCATGTTAATTTAAACCCTTTTTGCGCTTTACTAAATTATTAAAAATATTGATCAAACATGACCTCATAAAATAATTGCTCTTTTGTTTTACCCTCGGACAATATGATCTCATCCCTATATGTCATTTGAGAAGGTTACGTGTTATTATAAAAATTAAAGAAAATGTATGGAGGTTTCAGAAACTTATATTTATTTTACCATTTTAGTTCGGAGTCGGTGTACATAGACGTTGATTAAATGATATCTATAATTTTTTTGATTAGGATTATATTATTTTTAATTTAATTTTACTTTATTATTTATAAAGCTTTGACCTTTCCAATAATTATATCATAGGCAGACTCTTTTTGTTAGTGTTTGATAACATGAGAGGTAGTAATTTGAAGTTTACTGGGAAAAAAAGAGAGGTTGAATTGAAGACGAAATTTACCCTTGTTCACAACTTTTTATTTACCGGCCTCATGTACTCTTGACTGACTAGTGGAGTATGTTTGTTCAGTCTCTTTCTTCTATTGTGATTCAAAAAATAGTGTGGTTATTTTTGTAATTTTAATTCATTTTTTCATCGATATTTTACCTTCAATCAAATATAGATTTAGAAAACTTTAATCAATTTTTTCAGTAATATTTTGTCTTATCAAATAACTTTTTTTTTATTTTACCATCAAACTTACTTTTTCACCATTTTCCCCGATAATTGTATTTACCTGATAAATAAAAAAATTTCCTCTACCAAACGTCCCCTAAAAGAAATTACATTTACCAAATAGGTACAGTGTAGTTGGTATCATATGTTGAGTAGGTATGGGAAGAATTTGTATTTGATTTCCATCAAATACATTTGTGATAAAGGGCGAAGAGCTTTAAATGTGATTAAGTCATAATTTAAAATTAATCATATAGCTGACTCAAAGAGTTAAAATTTGTTAAAGTCTCGAGAAGACAATTTACTTCAAAAAGATAATTAGGGTATGGATAAAAAAAATTGCTTTGTAATAATAAGGTTTTAAAAAAAAAATAACTCAAAATACTAACACGACAAAAATAAGCGAGTTGTGCTTCATTTGGCACCTGCTTTTACGCAGCACAAATTGCAATGCAATTGTGTTTTGGATATGTAAAAAGAATTATTTTTGTTTTTATTATAAGAAATAATTTTATTTTTTACGCATATAAAAGTATTTGAGACTTATATGAATCTTGTGAAAAAAAAAAAGAGATAAAAAGAAAATATGAACTTCATATATATATTTATATTTTTATATATGTAAGAGACAAAATTATCTTTTACAACATGAGAAACATTAATTTCATATTAAATATAATGAAAACAAAATTTCATTTGTTTAATGAATTTTATGAATATAATGTTAGATGAGAGTTCTTTTGTCATGTCATAAATATTATGGGTCTTACTACATAAAAAAAAATTAAAGTGAGTCCAGTACTTTTTTAAATAAGTAAGAAAAAGAAGTTATGTCAGGTAAGATCATGGTTGTATTTCTCTTGTTTAATAGTATTTTATCTCCCTGTATTTGTTTGCCTTAGCTGTTTTGAGTTTTCTGTGAATGTTAAGAATACTACAAAATCAGCCGACAGTGGCACATGAATTATGTGTGGGCTCCAAGGACTTATTGACTCAAATTTAAAAAAGACTCAAATGATACTTTTTTGAGAGTCGATAAAAACAGCAAACCTGTGCAAAAAATTTTTCCCCTCATCTTGGTCCCAATATATTTTCTATTTTGCCACTTTACCATTTTCAGCAATTACCATAGCAACATCTTTCCTCGGTGAGTTTGGCCATTCGTGGCAATTATATATATTTATAGATAAGTTCTTCTGGAACCAATAATGGATCATATATGACAATAGTGCCTAGAACAAAGCATTTGTTAATGTGTTTTATTGATTATTTTATATTATAATACAAGTTGTTGATCATTCAATGATTTTTATTTTTTAAATAAACGGCTCACTATCTTGCAGAGAAGATTTTTGTCCCTATACATGGAACAAGACCCTTAGCAAGAATTTGAACATTTTTTCCTTTGGAAATTATCCTTGATAATTGACATGGATAATAAGAAAAGATTGTTGTCAATGTCAAAATGTCATATTTTAGACGCTTAGTTAGTTTACTGTATATAAGTATATCATGTTTATGTATCAGGCCATGCTATCGATATTTTCTTATATATATGGCCATTTCTTTAGAAAAAGGGAAGATAACTGTAACTTCAAAACATAATTGACATGGACAATATATATTGAGCAATGATATGAACACAAACATTTTTTCTTTTATATTTACAAAAATTTAATCTCCACCGTTTTCCCCCCACTTTTTCTCTTTTCTTTCTTTTAGAACCATCAGCGTGGCTCCCGCATTTTTTTTATTTATTCTATGTTTGGAAAAGTCCATGCAACCAATTTTTTTTCCATTAATGCTTTCTTTATAAAATTTATTATCATTTAAAGTTGTATGTACTATATAAGTTTTAAATGTCGAGGATTTCTAATCATATGATATAAAGTGAATAAATTTTCGTAGTGAAAACACAATAGCCAAATTTTGCAACGAGCCTTGCATGGTTTATTAACTTGGGTTTACATTCTCTACAATTATTGCAAATAAATTATTTACAGTACATTATATACTACGGATAATATATAGTATAACTTTTGAAATCTAGACAAAAATAAAATTTACTTCAAAAATTACACTATATATTATTCATAATATATAGTATACTGCAGATAATTTTTCTGCATTAAATACAGAAATATTTTTTCCTTGTAACTTCATATCAAGTTTTGCAAAAGACAAGCCACGAGATGGGAAGGGAAAAGTAGAAAGCGGAAAACTCAAATTTCCGTAGTATTGACTTTAGACTTGATATATTATTTAGGACATGCTTAGATGTTTTTTTTTTTCACTTTATGCTGTATTTAGATGTAACTTTTTTTTATAAAAAAAAAAAAAGCTAAAACGAAGCATTTTTTTAAGTCAATATTTATGACTTTTTAAAAAAATCTAAAAATTAACACATAAAAAATTATTATTTTTAAAATCATCCAAACGGGTTTTTACAATGTACGTAGTTAGAATATGACCAAACAATTAATTGGTGACACTTTTTTATTCAGATTGATTGAATTAATTTAGCTGTTTAAACTTTTTAGTCAAATGGTTGAAATTATAGAAATAAATATAAAATAATGTAAAACACGTAAAATATTTATAATATACGTAATAGTTTTTGAAGTTTTTTTAAAAATAATAACAAATGGCTGGTTAATTGAATTGAAGTTTACCTAATTTTAATCGGTTTAAAGATGCCTTTCAAAAGTTTCAATTCATAATTAAACTGTACTATATATAATCAATAAGTCAGATCATCCCATCTTATTCAATCCAATTGAGACAACACGATACTCAAGCACACAGCAAGAGTCTAATAAAAAATCATATTATATGATATACTGTACTATACTTAGAATAATGCGTTTAACGTAAACATCATATAGTTAGTGTGAATGAACGTGATACATATGATACAAAGCTCATTTTTAGTTGACTATAAGTTATGTATTTTCCATCACAAGTTATACGGAATCGGGAACATATTGACAAATATACTATACTAATTATTAAGTCACTTTCTAAAGATTTGAAACAAAAATATATAACCCCATGGAAAATAGCGAGTAATTTTTTTTATTCATATGTTTAACAGAATATCAACATATTGTCGTGCAATACGTGACAGTTAATTCACATTTTTTTATTATTTGTGAGAGTTTAACATTTTTGTTTTTCTGCAGAAAATATTTTTTTTATATACTCACATAAAAATAAATGAGTCACATTTTGAAGAGAAGGGAAAAAAAATTAATAGAGCTCACTCACTTTTATGTGAATATGACAGAAAATATTTTTTCTATTTACAAAGATGAAAAACAAAATTATATCTCCATATTATTATTAACGGGAATTTTTTTATTTGGTCATGTTTGAGTTATTCAATTTTATCCTTAATTATTATTATGTGTATTTAAAAAAATTATTATTATGTTTATAACTAATTAATAATTACTTATTTAAAAATTACTTCTATAGAAATAGTATGCAATTTTCTCGGTTTACAACTATCTTTTTCCTAATTAATAAGCATTCAC